CATTTTCACACCTGGATGTTACGACGGTATCCCTTTTATACTTAGGTATAACATAATATAAGTGGCCAAATAATATTTACTTTACTGATAAAATTGTTTTCTTCGTCCCACTTTATTCAAAAGCCTGGTTAAGCTCATGTGCACACACTGTGTGCAATATTTTTCCTTAAATAGATGCTGTTCTCTATCATATGATATATCTGCTAAGCAGCGCACCTTCCTGGAAAAGTATCAGCTTACCTTATTGAGCTAACACGGCCAAATATTATGCTTTTTTTGCTGCCACAGTGAGCGAAAACTCATATTCTAAAGAGGTTAGCGTTGCATGTGTGTTTGGATGAATGAACTTTGCCATCCACTTTCAGTTCTGCAATCAGGAAAGCTCTGAAGCTGAAATTTTGCGAGCGCGTTTCCAGCAAAGTTGATAATCATGCATGCTGGAGGCTCATATGGCCCCATAATGCAATGGTACTATCCTAACCGACGTCTTTTTTCCCAGCTCGCAAGGAAAGGCCAAAACTTAGCCAAAATCAGCCCACACAAGAACCATTCATGCTGTCTAACTAACTGACTGCTAAAAGTTTAATGCAAGGACGCATAATCACACTATGGGCCTGGCGCCTGTCAACATGGGTTAACTGTGGAGGATTTCAAGCTGGTGACTTCTTAAGCACATTCAAAGTTGCTCATTGTTACGAAATGCTTCCCATAAGATTATTGACCAAACCTTACAAGGCTACTAGCAGTTCCTGGTGACACTTTTTACCTATGACCTTACGAGAGCAACCTGAAAAAATTTCATCCAAAGGATTAAATTCAGTGAAAGAAATGAATTGGCGCGAGCCGTAGATTGGCGAGGAAGTTTTGTTTGCTTTTTGCTTTATCAGTTTTGGTAGAAAAATTTTTTGTTACTCACCATTGATTTGTAGACAGTTCTTCCAATCGAGAATGTGAAGAATCATTTCATACACTTCTCCATCGATGTATAGGCTGCGTGGGAAAATGCAGAATCGTTGTCAAATTATATCTATTTGCTTCCTTAGCTATGCCCAAATAGTTACCGTCAGTTTCTTCATCTACAAGAGCTTGTTGCGCAGCAATTAGCATGAAGCTGTAAAATATATTTGACTCTGATTTTCTTTAGCCCAGCCGAAATCATTACAAACTAAAATTTGATCAGAAGTCATTAAGAAGGAGGGAACTTTGTAAGCCATGGTTCACATGTTTCAGATTAAATCATCAA